GGATTCACCCTAACTTACCAAGAAAGCTGTGATATTCAGCCAAGCCCTATGATACCACCAAATTTGCACTGAGGAGAACACCTGTAACTGTCACCTCACAAATCTCAAGAGGCCTTTCACTCAACAAAGACCGTCCTCCAGAGAGATGGATCGTACTTTTTGAAAAAGCCACCTGGATACCACTTGAAGAACTGCTGCAGTACAGAAAGAACCCCTCTTCCCCTCCCCCATAAATCGTACAACATTGGTTATGGCATAACATCCCTCCCTGGAACCTATACGGGAAATCCTCAAACAACTGCAACCCTTACTAGAAGAAGATGCAATTCTTAAAGATATCATCCCAGAACCAACCATCCTAGCCTTTAAACAAGCACCAGACCTTGCTAACCTCATCACCAGAAGCAAAGTTCCTATGGCCCAAAACACCACCAAATGGATCCAGACCATGCCATGACAAGAAATGTAAAACCTGCCAACATATCTCCATCACCTCCACAATTACAACACCCCACAACAGAACCATCACCATTCCTGGATCTTACGCTTGCACCTCCAGAAATATAACATATCTTATCCAGTGTACCAAATGCCCTGAAGGAAAATATGTAGGAGAAATCAAACAATTGCATACCAGAACGAACGCATACTGAAAATCTATCAAAGACAAGAATACCCAATTCCTTGTGGGGGCACATTTCTCACAAGAAAACCACTCTCTCTCCAACCTCTCAGTTCTAATCCTCAAAGAGAATTTGCAAAACTCCTTTCACAGCTGAGCCTATGAACTTCACTTCACCAACCTACTGGATACAAACAATCATGGACTAAATATAGACATTGGATTTATGACACATTATAACCTACTTAACATTTGACTCCCCAGGTAACCTCTCTACTATTTACCAGATATATTCATTCCCCTTCCCCCTCACCCCCACCTTTCTCTCACCCATTGACTACCTAAATTTACATTTTCACTCACTGACTTTCTCTCATGCATACTGGTCTCTAGCTTCTTTACTATTCCATCCAGGAAGAGCACAGTGCAGCTGCTTCCTCAGCCTGATGAAGGGTATTTGTACCCAAAAGCTTGCAAAAAAGAATTTTTCCAACTATTTGAGTTGGTTTAATAAAAGATATCGGATTTACCCAAAGAACCTGGTCTACCCCAAACCCTAGAAACTACGAATTCATCTATGGTCCCAACTGCCTGATAAGTAGTTATTTATAAAACTTTAAGCATGACAGAAAGAAAAGGTGTTTAAGAAATGCACCAATGTACAGCAAAGCAGAGGTAGTAAAGCAGCAGTTTCTGTCATACGCACTTGTGTTTTTGTGAGAATGGCATGCAGAAGATGAAATGGATGAAGACGGTGGTGAGGATGATGAAGATGAAGTCTCATCTAAATCTTTTGGATTTATCCAGTATGCACGAGTATCCCGATTACCTTTCTTACTCGTACAGCTGATGTCACACTGGAAAACATCTTCACAGCTGTCACTTTGCAAACGCTCTTTCTGGAGAAGTTTGTCCACTCTCTGTATAATGCACTCCAGACTTTTGTCAACGTTCAACCAAACTTTTTCCTTAAAAGAAAAATGTCCCCTTCTCAATTAAAAAAAAAAGAAAAACCAACACTGGATAACAAGTTCCTCTGCACACTAGAGACACACTGCCTGCTGTGGTTATAACCACACTTGCTTAGTAAGTTCTTCCTTTGCTATTACATTTACACACACACACACAGGATATATATCAACAGTGCAAGTAACATTCATGCATAAATTGCAGAGCCATGTAATAAATCTGCCAAACAATTCTGGCCATTTCTTCAGCCCTCCACACATTAATCCATTTCTCCAGGATTTTTTTAATGTTCCAGCTTCAAATGGGTAACATATTTTAACCTTATAATATCAGTGCGACAAGGAAGTGTTTCTTTTCCTGACAAATATGCAATTTTCTCCTTAAAAATGACACTTGCTTGAGACCCATAGCAGGTAAGATTCAGTGCTAGGCCCAAGACACCTTTTCCATCCCTAAAAATATTCTTATTTTAAGAATTAGTGCCCTACATCCTAGCAAGGCTAGACGTGTAACTTGTATCTCTGGACAGAGAAAATTCCCAGACTCCCACTGGATCTCAGCATTCATTTCTAGACTTAAAAGGGTATGACAGATTATTCTTTAAAACTGTAGGTGTGAAAGGCTATTTTAGTTTAGGTTATAGATATTTCATGGAATTTTTTCCTAGTTGGAGAGACAGAACTGGCCCCTTTGAGCCATGCACAGATGGGCACAGGGGTCAATATTTTAAAAATTGGCTTTTAATTTTGTTGCCCAACTTTAGACACCTTATTTAAGTGCTGAACATGAATCCACAATCCCAGGTGCGATCTGTGTTAAATTAACTGGAAAATCAGCCTCAATATGTCCCGGCCAGGACACCCAATAACAGCTATCTAAGGTGAAAGCTTACTTTTGAACAAATTAACCAAAATAAGAAATCTAACATTATAAGCAAATGGACACCAAAAATGGTTCCAATTACAAATTTTAAACTCTAAAACATTCCTAAAATTGGTTTTATTTAAGGTAGTTTGGTATAAAGATTTTGTTAGTATTCATTTAAGATGACCTTTATATCTGACTTGTGGCACTGCCATTGATGAGTGACATGACTACGCTGATAAAACTTTTAAAGTAGGGGTGAACAAAATATGGCCTGCCAAGGGGTTTTGTGCCCTGCGGTGGGTCCCTGAGCAGCCCCAGCTGTGGTGTACACTGCCAGTTGTGTCATTCCCAGTTGTGGAGCTACTGCCCCTGGGTGTGGGCTGCAGCAGTGTGATGGCTGGACTTGGTTCCTGGCAGCAGTGGCTCTTTCTGGCTGCTGCTGCCAGTGTAACCACTGCTGCTGGACCCAGCCTCACCGCCCAGGCACCTCAGTCTGTCTGCCCCACACCCATTGCTGGACACCACTCCCTACCACCCCATCCCATTTAACTAGCTGGGTGTGTCCTGCCTGTGCAGGTCCCGGACCAGTTTCAATGGAGACTCTGGGATCACTGGGTGGTGACAGCATGGGGCCAGGCCCCAGGATGGAGCCACTTACGAGTTCTGGTGAACTGCTACAGGCAGAGGGAGAATGGGGGAGGGGTGTGTGGAAATGCTAACCCAAACTTCTTAAGTAGCTCTCCAGCTGAATAATTGCCCACCCCTGCTTTAAAGCATGGCATCATAACTTTCCTGTATTAATATTATGAAAAAATATATAAATGTACATATAAACAGCCATACTTGCACATACACATACTCTGACAGCACTAATGTCAAATCAATAAGCCATCACATAGAAATGGAAAACTGCTTGCTCACATGTACATGAAAAGGAATAAAAAAAATAAGTACTTGAATTGCAGTACTAGGTGTTGAATTAAATATGGGCTTGATTTAAAGCATCAGGTATGAAAGAGCTGGGTGTGAAATATATTTACACACTGTTTCTTTCTTGTATTTGTCACCATTACTATAATTAATTTGAACAATTTTAACTAAGATGGTACCCACTCCTGTTTCACCCTCTATTATGTAATTATATTACTATGACAAGGCAATTCCTATTTAAATTGGCAGCATTATTTGGATTTAATTCTTACTTTGGCCTGTTTTAAAATGCAGTGCATTACCAAAACAGACAGATACCATGTTTAAATATTTTCATCAGGAAAACCAGAAAATAATTTAAAAGTTTATATTTCACGCTAAAATATATGAATATGTAGAGATCTATTAAATACGCAGATTTTGTACATGGGTTTGTTTTTTTCCGTCAGCACAGTGGTTGAGAAAGGAACACCCTGCAAGCTGGCTCTTAAGTTTTTTTTTTTTTATAAAAAACAATTACCTTTCAATACAGACTTAACCTCAGGAAAGCTATCTGGTCTAACAGTCACTGACTGCTGTTATTCAGTGCTTCTGCTCCCCAGACCAAATAGCAAGCCTGGAGAGCATGGAAATAGTGCCTTAGACTGCTTACCAGTAACCCTTCAGATGACAAAGGTGTGAAGTAATGTGCTCCAGGATAAGATCTCTGACCAGTAGTTAACAGCTTTCAAACAAAGGGCTCAGACTAAAGAATGAACTAAGGAGAAGAATGTAGATGGCAGGTGCAGGACTCATCCCTCCCTTCAGCAAACCTACCCATTCCTCTTCATGCCAATCCACCTGCAGAGAAGATCGGCTGTTTCTTCCTGTCCATCTTGCCACAAGAGTGTCTTGATCATTCCTTAACATTACCTGTTCCCCCTCTCCAGAGGTTGGAGACGCCTTTGAGGCTATGTAATCTGGCCTTGCAGCATTTAGTCCATGTATTGAATTTGCCAGAAGCTTGCAGTCACAGACAGTAACAAGCTGCCGAGTCTAAAAGGATACAAAACACATTTTAAAGCATTTCCTTTTAAAAATGCATGTTATTACTTTTTCATGAAAGGAAACTATCGTTGGTTTAAAGGCTTGGGCTACTTTTAAAATTGTATTTTGAACAGGACCTTAAAAGGATCATATGTAAAAGTCCACAGAGTGATTTTCAAAATGTATTCGTTTGTTCTAGATGTGCACTTAGTGCATATTTAACAACAACCTACAATTTTGATTGCCTCCACCTAAAACCAGCTCTTCATTCTCTATTTTAAAGCTTTGCTTATCTATTTTCATGCATCTCTATTCAGTAGACACAAACTGCCAACCTAAAATGATGAATATTCAATTTAGTTCTATATGCTGTTTCAGATGACAACTAATGAATGCTGAGAGGAAGGCAAACCTCATGATCCAACAGAATATCAAAGGGGAAAGGACTTAGCCCACTTAGTGAAGTATTCAAGGCTTCACCGAAGCATGACGATTTCCTCTAGACAATATAATTTCAGATGCTATTCTTATTCATATGTCAATTAAAAAAAATCTTATGAAACTACACATCTCATCATTATGCATTAGCACTGAAATCCATAGACTAATACTTTGTATAAGTGCTTACTCTTTTTTATTTCTAAATTCTTGACATTAATTTTTGCATTATGGGAAAGTGTACATAAACATTCCAAATATGTACACAGTAAACTGATACAAATATTGTCATGTGATACTGCCAACTTATTCTGTGTACTTTCTTAGAGCTCAGCAACAAAATAAAACAGAGCTCAATACAACTATTTTTGTTCCTGGCCCAGTAAATAAGGTTCATTTTGATTGCCAGTCTGCTTTTTTTAAAAGGATTAAAGTATTTTTTGAATGCATCACTATAGTTAGACCCAGGGCCATATCACTGATGCTCCTTTTTAGTATTGAATGAATAGTATTCAAATACATGATGGAAAACAAATCCCACTTGAATTTACCACCCTGTATGGGTCAAGTACAGCCTTGCAGGAACCATACTTGAATGTTTGAAGCAAGCCTACCAAAAATTATTTTTCCCAGTGATTTAGTTACCTTATCTGCCAAAATGGCAAGTGTTCTTTCCAGACCGTTAGCTGATCTATCCTTGGCAGCTCTTGAGAGCCTTTCTGCATAGTAACTGACTTGAGTTTTGAGGGTGTTGATTTGTGCAATAATCTCCTTTGCTCTAACAATGTCCTGTGGGATGTATATTATAGATTGGGAGCTCATGGAAGTGCTGAAAAAGAAAGAAGGCTTTTAAACAAAAAATATATAAACACTACAGTCACACTTTTTTCATGCTGAGGAAGTAACTGCAGACAATAGAATCTACCCATGCTATCAATCAACAGTGAAAAGGTGATTACTGAGCTGGAACACTATACCTAAGCACTTCTGCATTTAATGGAAGCATTCAAATGCAGATTTACTAACTGCTTATGACTAGTAACTTGCACAGAGCTAACACACCAGAGGGAACATTTACTGAGGAGAATATGTGTGATAAATTTTGCTATCAGAGACAGATCTCCTGCTTCTTTAGGCTCCTTGATCAACTCTCCCTCCTTCTCCCAACACAGATACTTTATTGAGGCCTGGTCTACACAACAGCTTTACTGGCTACATTAGTTGGGAGCAGGAAAATGTCACCCTCCTCCGCCCCACCAATTCAATGGCACAACTTGTCTAGCAAAAGCTTTAGTATAGGCAAAATTAGTTATACTAACAAAAAAACCAAAATAAAAAACAAAACAAACCCCCCCACCTTTGCCTATATAACTTATTTTGCTTTGGGAGACTAGCCTAAGCTATTCAGGAAAGATGCTCTTTTTGCTGGCATAAGATGAATTGCTGCAAGGGGAGTGTTGCTGGGATAGTGAAGTCACTGTAGTGTAGCAAGCCCTCTGTTATGTTTCTGATACCTCCTTGCCAATCTAGGGAAATTTGGCCTTGACCTTGCTTGCATACAAAATCTGTACTACACTGAAATAATTAAGTGGTACCCTCCTTGCTGGGCACATGGTTTGTTCCCATACAAGAAGGGTAATAAACTTTTTTTAAAAGAGAACCTGCATCTTTATACTGGTACAACTCCATCCACACTGGAGTTGTACTAGTAAAAGGTCCCATTTACACATTACACTTAAGACATGATTAACCAGTTAATGATGTCTTAAATTGTGACCCAGCTACACATTCAATCAATGAATGGCATGATAAAACAAGGAATAAGCCACAAAGTTATTCCACAAAAAATGTATATCAATTTTGTGGCTCGTTCTTATTATGCCATTAACTGAAAACGTGGCCACCGCTGTGGTTGGGAGCCCTGTCAGCTAATGGGGCTCCCAGATACAGGGGTGCACCACACACTGCCACAACTGTGAGCCCTGCAATAGCTGTGGCAGTATCCCGTGTGTTGCTGCGGGCCCTGCAGCTGACGAGGCTTGAAGACACACAAACTTGTTACTTGCTGTGCACGGGGATTTTAGGATTGCAATCCCAGGCTCCCTGTGCACCAGTAATAAGGTGTGATTGGATCTGGTGCTGGATCCCACAATCACACCGCCTGCCATGCACATGTAGCATGGCAGGAGGTGACTGTGTGGATCGCGCATCAGATCCTATCACGCCTTTACCTGAGCATCTAGAAGGGCCCTAAAAAAAAGAAGAAAACAAACCTGTGTGGAGGCCAGGCCTCTGTCTCAGCTCAGAATCTGACAGGCATAATTTTGCATTCAGGATGAAATGTCAAGACAAAAGGTGCCTGAGAACTTAATTTATTTCTCTTTCTACTAATTTCTTCTAAATATTATTGGCTTCACTCTACAGCCACTGGAAAGAGCAGTAATTACTACAGGTGCAAAACCCAGCTTGTTTGTTGGACAAATCCATGCTTAGCATCTCACAGAAACTACTTGCCAGGTTCGTCAGGCCCAAATCAGCATTTTTGAGAAGTATGATGAATACTGCTCTAGGGGAATGGGGTCAGGAGCAAGGATACAAACTTTATTTTGAGCCACTGACTAGGGAGACATTATATGAGTTTTTAAAAATTTTTGCAAGAAAAGCAGTAATGCGGGTTCACTTTTACCAAGAGTCCATGAGATAATGCAGGCGATACTTAAGGGGGCACGCTTCAAAAACAATTGTCACAAAGGTCAATCAATCTGAAGGCATTTTCATAGACTGAGAAGTTTGTAAAGCCAGAAGTCTGACCTCCTTTAAAGAGATGGCTTTCCCTTTTGAAGGTTTCAATGCAAAAGGAACTGCTGAACCAGCTGCATCATCTATGTTCCTCTGGTCACACACCTATCTGCAGGGAGTGGAGGGAAACCATTTCTCAACACTCCTCACCTCACATGAAACAGATCTCCTCTTTTAGGACTTTTATGCCACATTGACCAGTGCTCTTAGTGACAATGCCTCTGAGCAATTTCTTTCCACTACAGTGGGGTTATCATGCAGCAAGGTAATGTATCTGGGAGGAAGGCCATGCAGCATGTTCAGATTTGACTCTTATTATTTGGTTGGGGTTTTTTTTAAAGCAAAACCAGCAAACATTCACTGGGAATGCCAGAGGAAAGAAATTTTATGGTATGAAGTTCACACATATTCACTTTCCAATCTGCAATCATGCTTTCAAATGAACAGCTGTTGTTTTATAAAGGTAAGCTATACTGCCCAAGTAATAGATTTTGATATATGAAATGTAACCCCCACAAACCAAACCAAACCACATATCGCCTGCTGTAAAAAGTGCTAAATGCAGCATGTACATGCTGTGGTACTACTGGAAGCTACACGTGGTATAATTTGAAGGCCCAATCCAAAAGTCATCAAAATCAATGGGAGCCTTCAGTTGATATCTGTGGACTTTCTATTTGGCTCCAGAAAAGCTAGCTCACAGAACTAATTCAGAGCAAGAGCACTGCTGTGCCATTAGCCCTATATTTTATTCTGTTCTCTTATAGTACTGAACTTTATAAAGTATCTATAAAATTAAAGGGGAAAATGCACAAGGCTTAGGAACACATTTAAATGTACAAATTAAAAAATATGTAAATCTACTGTGACATCATAAGAACTTAAAACAATGCATTAGGTCACCTCTCTTCCATTACTAGGAGAAGAGAACGTTAAAAAATATATATTGTGTAGCTATGTCTCTTCCACTAAGTGCAACCTGTTTTCACTGGAAGTAATAGAGAATGTTGTTTTGTTCAAATTTGCAGTCTTGTAATCAAGGAAAGCTCTAAAATTAGCTGTTCATTACAAAATAAACATTGCAGATGGAAAAACAAATTCATTCATACATCGTGTTCTACTAAGCACCTACAGTCATTTGAAGCACAAGTAGTGGTGCCATGACTCATGACACTAAAACACCCTGTACATTTTAAAGCACACTGATCTTTGCCAAAGAAAGAGAAATAAAAAACAACAAAAAAAAGTTCTCTCCACAAACTCCCAGAAACAGAAAACTCACCAACATTCCTCATAACTGCTAAAAAAAAACACAAACCAAAATAAAATTAGCAGATTGTTAGCAAATACCAAAAGCAGAAAAAAAACAATGTCTGGGAAAATATCTTATTTGTTTAATATTTTCAATAATGCATGTACATGTGATTAAACCTGGAAGCAAAAAAATGCACGTACTAAGGAATGTCAGATGATTATGGTATTCATTTAGAGCGTTACACATGTGCAAGGAACAGTTTTGCCAATAAGCAAGGAAAAAATAAAATCGCTTTTTTTACTCAGCAGTGAAAATGAAAGATGGAATAAAGTTCTACTATATTGGGGCCTACCTTTTGGCAGGTGTGCCACAAGTTAGCCCTGGCACCTCTCCAAGTGCCACTCAATACTCTTCCACTGCCCAATCTGTAGGTCTGCTTCCTGCTCTCCACCCTGTGCTCGCTGCCTGATCTGCTGCTCTTCTTTCTGCTTCCTGCCCTGTCTGCTACTGTGCTGCCTGTCCCCTCCCTGAACTGTGCTGCATGCCACACTTGGAGGCTGCCTATGCCAGTTATGGCACCCATGCTACAGGTTGATCATTTCTTTTCTGTTACATTGTTTTGTATAAAAGTGAACAAATCCACAAAAAGGGAGTCCTGTTTGTTACGGAGATTATAACATTATATCTTACATTATTTGATAAAATTCCATTTATATTGCCTCAGCAGTTTATACACAAGGAGAGATTAGACTCTTAAAAACTTTTATTTAGTTATCAAAGAGTGCTTTCTTTTTACAAAATGTGATAGAGCATTCAAGTGTTTGGATCTTGCTCTTGCTACTCTTAAGATAATGATAATTGTAAATGAATACATGTTTAAGGTTAGAAGGAACCATTATGACCATTAGCCCTCCCTTTTTGACAATACAGGCCAGAGCGCTAATTCTGGACAAAAAAAAAAAAAAAATCAGTGGATTCCACAACTAGCCACTAGCCGCCGCCTTGTACCTGCAGTATTTTTTGCGCTTACTAAAGTGGGGATATATTTTTATTATTAATTTCATTTATTTTGCAGTGTTTCTGGCTCTTTTGCTTGTGTTATGAACAATTATTATGTTTCTGGTTCTATTCTTTGGGTTTCTGATGTGATGCATGTAATATGTAGAACAAGCTCTTTTGAGTCAATACATGCTGTTATTCCAAGCCTCAGGGCATCCTATTTTTTATTTGATGTACATGTCCCCAAGTGAGCAGAGACAAAAATGCCTGGTTATGCTCTGAGGATGAAGTGTAAGAAGCCTGCCTGATTTGCCATTCATGTGATCTAATACCTCTTACAATTATCTTGGTAGGTATAGTATTCATCCTTGCTCACCGTTATATGGTTTGTTACAAAACTGACAAAATGTTTTAAGATCAGAGCTGTCCAATCCATTTGGGTTTGTAGGGCAGGTCTGGACCAACGGGCTTCTTCTGGGCCAGACAACCCATGTCAGCAGTGTGGCAAGCAACAGCAGTGTTAACTGTTGTGTGCTGACCATACCATCACTGCTTGCTCTAGTGCTGAAAGGCATCCCCAGTGGGGATCTCAATCCGTAAATACATCAGCAGAGCAACCAGCCTCCATGTGTTTAACACTGCTGCCACTTGCCTACTGCCACCAAAAAGCAGCCCCCAACAGGGATCTCAACGTGGAAAAAAAAAATAATGTGGGGCAAGTGGCAACAGCATTAACTTCCTGAGTGCTGGCCCCATCAACACAGAGACTCTGATAATCATGGGAGTTAATGCCATCACTGCCCTGCTGCAGACTTTTCAGCCCTGTGAACCATGATTTAACCGTTTGAGGGCCACATGCGGCCTGTGGGCTGTCATTTGTTCTAAATTAGCATTGGAGGGGGAGAGATCAATAAACAGAAGAAGGGCCTGTAATCTGTGCTATCTCCCGATAAGGATATTACCGGCAGAAAAACTTATTTCTACTCAGAAATAAGACATGCAGTTTTCATATGCACAGAGATGGCTGCTTTGTAAAGGCTCAGGAGAAAAACGCTGGTTGGAAATAAAGGCTTGAGGATTGGGTGTGTACAGCTGAGTGAACTGTACCAAATTAAAAGCAGATGTTTTGGTGGGGTGTGAATTATCATCTGTCATCTTCTCAGTGATAACTGTTAAGTTAGTCACCCCATCCCATGCTAAGTGGAAGCTAAATTAGGCTTGTCTAGTATTTATTTCAATTGAGGTAAATTGCCCTGGTCTAGTTTAACTGTGGAACAGTGTGGACGCATGGAATAACTACTGCAGATCAACTGATGAGTGGTACTTTAATTTTGTATAATTTGTCCGTCTGTTCACACCAACAGGTGGTTTGGTTACTTAAGACACCGCAGTGACAGGTCCATGTAAGTACATAAGTAGACCAATACAGGACTATGAAACCAACAACAACAGAAATGTCAGCCCACCCTACTGATGTTTCAGCTTTTTCTTCCTGCCACATCCTGTATGTCAGACATTTATGGGAAGCAGAGGTTTGTATCGGTCTAACTACCAAAATATATGCTGGTCTGACTCTGAAGTTCAAGTGGCACTACAAGTTGCCCTGCTTCTGTAGTCCCCAGTTTTCTGTGGCTGATGGACAATAAAATCGAGCAAGTAACACACTGTTGGCAACATTATGCTTTGCTCTCCCTGTCAACCTCACTTTTTCTGTGGCTGCAAAGAACATTTGAGGATCTGATGGTCAACACACTTGGGACCTCTGCCCTATCCATTACCAAAAATAGTGCTGCTGATTGTACAACCCAATACCTTTCTAAAATACTACCTGGTAGGACTGAGCTGTGTTCCCATATCACAGTTACTTTCCCTTCCTTCACACCAGCTCAGATTTCCAGCTTCTTCTATCCCATGCGTCTCTCAGTTATGTTAGTGGGGTTTCCCTTACCTGCAGTTGCTCTTGCAACCCCTCAGGGAGAGGGGGGCAAAAAAGATAATACAAACCTGCCTGGCATTATCTTTCACTTATTAAGTTCCACAAAGCCAGTGGGACATTGTGCATGCCTTCCCCTTCAACACAGCTGACCTTTCCAACTTCTGCCCTCTCCTGCAATGTTACCTGGCCATTCCTCTGGAGAGGCTGCTGAGGGGATCAGAAGGAAGTAGGGTGTGATGTGGAGGTGGAGGATAGCTTCTATAGAGCAGAAAGTGCATGGGCCTGAGTGCAGACAGGGAGCAATTAGTAATTACTCATCTGCATAAAATGTGGGGGAGAAACAAGGAAGCTTGAAGCAATTATCTCCAAAGCTATGATGTCAACAGGGAAACTGCCTGGTAGGGACTGCTGTTGTCTTCTTGGGAGTGTTGACAGAGATGGGAAACTCATCTTTGGACAGAAGCTGTAAGATCTAAGGGAACAGATCAGATACTGGAAGACTCCTGAACAGAATCAGTTTCCATGCTTGTGCTTTTGGGTTTAGGACATCAGTAAGAGATAGAAGCTAGGGTCAATTACTTTGCCCAATTTCTCATCCGACTTCAGTGAAAATTCTTTAGCCAACTAAGGCTGTACTTTATGAAATAGTTCATGGCAAATTTATTTTAACTGATCTGGAAGTCCAGCTCAGACATGCTGAGGAAACAAGCTGAAGAAAACAAAAGTATCGAATATACCATTTTTAGGGAGAGCTTAACAACAATTCCCAAACCTGCAATTAGAGAGGAAATAAACTCAGCTAAAGTACCTTCAAGAGTTAAACTAGAAGTCGAATACCATAATTTAACTATCCTGAAATATTAAAAATTCTAAGAAATCATAATGGTTTTTCAATTTAATAGCAATAAAAAGAGCCAAAAGGAAACTTTTTTCCTTCTCCCTCTTTATAAAAGACATATGATAATGTTCACTTTATATAGTAGAACTTCTAAATGTAGATATTACAAAAAGGTGAAATGGTGAGCTTATTGTCCAAATTATTAGCATGGAGCATTAGATAAAATCAAGTGACAACTTTTATAACAATTCTTCTACTTACTGTTTCTTTGCCTCCTCAAATTTATGCAGTTTTTTCCGTAGGCCACCTGATTTAAAGCCTTGACAATGAGCTGCTGGCGCACCTATGGTCACTATGTCGTAATTCTGATCTGGGATGGACAAAAAGTGCTTACAAATGAAAGTTCACCCTCTTCACTTTGCTTGAATATCTGTGGAAATTTAAACTACTCAAAACATAATTTTCTCAACCCTCCCCTTCCCTTCTCCCCAAAACTGGGGCCCTTCCAAACAGATCTGAGATCTACAGTAAGCTTGCACTGTTTTAATGGCCTTAAGGAGCTGCCAAGTCCTACAAACCTAGATCCCTCTGTCTTGATTTACAAGCCTGACAAATGCAATACACCTTGGATATAAGGAAGAGGGATTAACCTTGACACTTGCCAAACTATACATCTCTCCCATCTGGAGACAGGTGAAAGGGGCTGAAAAATTAGAATCTTTTTTTTTTTTTTTTTTGATATCACTGGTAATACTTTTTTGCAAGTATTATGGTCCTTATACATTAATACAAAATATTGGATTTGTCCTGGCTACAGTGAAATAAAGTAACTACATAAAAACATCCAACAGGCAGGACTTTGACATCATGACACAACCTGAAAGGATCCTAAAACCTAAAAAGGGACATTGAAGCTTAATTCAGCACAAACAGAAAAGGACTGGAAATCTGGTGAGAGGAGGAGGAAGGCACTCCACCACTCAATTTTACCGTAAAATAAAAACAGGAATAATGACACTTACTATTTTTTTTTTTTTTTGGTAAAAGTGTTCTGAGATCCAAGGAGGGTAGATGTTATGCAATGTTAGATAGTTTAGCACAGCACAGAAGCTGCACTGGTTTGCAGAAACTGAGCTGTGGAAGGGAAAATGGAAGTTCAAAACAAAGGGGAAAACATAACTATATGAGACAATGAGAGAGACGTACCTGATCCTGCATCATCCTGGACTCTCATTCTCTGGATGTGTAAATTTGTAGGAACAAATTCCAATTTTTTATCAGCCTTCAAGCTGCTTGCTTTAAACGAGGGGCCTGAGAAATGTGAGAGAGACATATTTATTCTGTATCTGCACTTTAAAACCTTTGCTGCTTCCAGAGGCAATTTGGGATGGGGCTCCCTTCCACACCTGATGCACAGCTGTAGACAAGGTGAGGGTAATGCTGGGCCAAAGTATGACAACCAGTCTTCTGGTGAGTGGGAACTTGTGCTCCTGAGGCCCATGCAATCAGCTATAAACTGTATGACTGTAAAAATGGAAGGGTGATAACAGGATTCATTTAAAATCTATTTTAGTGAGAAGTTGCTATGTCCTAAAAATCCTGTAACTAACCCTATGGTATTGGAGGACAGTAATATATTAATCTTTGATGGAACATGTTCTCCCTGTAAGCAAGACTAAGAGAAAAGCACAAGATGACACAAGAACCTGAAAAAATATATATTTAACAAATCCAATTCTAAAAGGAATCAAGAATCACATCCTTTAAAAAAAAACAAAAAACCAAACAAACAACCCAACAACTGAACACATTTTCCACTCCACGCCACATACTGGTAACTATGCTAGGAAAACACAGGTGTTATGATACCTCTACTCTCTTCAACTTTATAGACTACGTAGTATATACTACCAAATACAACTGAATTAGATGCCAACAACTGAGGTATTCTGAGGCTCAGCATAACAGATTACTCTGTTTATCAAATATTAATAATAATAAATATTAGTTATTCGATCATGTGAAGCACAGATACTAATCTGAAGAGCAAACTGGAATATGATATGTCCTTAGGTACTTACGTACGAAATACTTAAGTGTCAGCAAGCTACTTAAGCATGTGTTTAAAAGTTATGCAAACTTAAGTGCCTTGTGGAACTGGAAGCTAACTAAGGAACAAAGAAGTTTACATTTCAGTACTGGACTATTATCTTACTGTTATAGCTCCTTGGACTTGATCCAGAAATGTATTTTGACACATGGCTGGCTTTAGGCATGTGCATTAGTCCCACCGACTTCAAGAGCAACATAAAAAATGAGCATGAGCTGAAGTGGTTTGTTGGATGGAAGTCTCAAGAAGGTAGTCAAGAAAGTAAATATGCAATAATATCAACTGCCAAATAATGTAATCTTCACCACCAATAATTGCTCTGCTACTTCTTGTTATCCACTATGCATAGAGCAATACCAGGTCTGGGCTCAGTAATTCATATTCTAATTATACCCTTCCCTTCCAGCAATCCAAGGAGAAACACAAGATGCAACTTTAGTATTTGTGTACTGTGAAACTTGACAGCAGCTGCATTTGGTTTCACTGTTATCTTATGAACTGCTTACAGATTTTTTTTAACTGGAATCACAGGAAGATCACTATTCCTAATGCGGTTCATTACTGTTTTGTGCTTTCAGAATGAAATTCTTTTACTGTGTAAAGAGGCCAGCACACAGGAGTTCCACTGCCTTACTTCTCATTTAGTTATTAAGCCATTAAATTATTTCACATATACATTCCTTCTTATGATGAAACACAGGAATCAAAATAACTCCCATAAGAAAAGTAGCAGCATACTGAATCCTCCTGAAATGTCAATAAAATCATCATTTTAGGCCCCTGGCAGATGTTAATTTACCACAGGATTGGAATCTGACAATTTTATCCCAAATCCCCAAAACTGTGCATCCTGCTGGCCAGATGTGCATGGCAGGATGTGCGATTTTAGAAATCTGAGATAAAATTTCTCAGATCTCAATAATGTGACTGCACGTGTGGGGAGCCTGGTATTGGGACCATGCTCTATTTCCTGCAGTGCCGTTTCATCTTGCCAAGACACAGGGAGTTCATAGGCTCCCCCGTGTGCTGACAAACAGAAAGCTTCACAGTGCAGCCTGGCATCAGCCTGCATTGTAGGCTTTAGGTGCCAGTGCATAGGGACCCTCAGCTGATGAGCTCCCCACATGCTGGCAAGCTGAAAACTGCACAGTACATCCCAATGCAGGGCAACCATGTGGCTTGGTGCATGGGAAGCCCATTAGCTGAGGAGTTTCTGGAGCACCAGAACTTAAAGGCATGTGGTTCAGCCCAATTCAGGGCTACACCATGCAGCTGATAAGCTCCCCATGTGCCCATACCTAAATCTGTGCAGTCCAGCCAGATGTCAAACATGCTACATGTTCAAATTAAAGTGCCTAGCTTTTTAGCTTAGCTATTTATTAGCTATGGAACATCTTTGTGCCTGGCTTGCCATGTTATTGCACCATAAATTGGTGGAATGTGTGGCATGTTATAATGTTATAATTTATCATGGAATTAGTATGTTACTTGCACAATAAATATAGCATCTACCAGGATGCAGAGAGTCCACCAAGTGTAGGAAAAGCAGCCAAACAAGTAACACACAAAAACACTGAGATTTTTGGTTACAGAAAAATAAACATTTTTACACACAAGTACACACATGCACACACACATAGCATTTATTAGAAAGTGTCAGAAAATATCAATGTACAAGGAACAGCAATGAACCAGGGATTTCTGAGGCCAGTTCACTACAAAATAGGTTCCACCCTATTATTATGCTGAATCAGGAGTGTACACTGGCAAAGATATATACCCATAACTTCTTTCATTACACAAATATTGTTCATTATTAATTATGTGAAATTTAGCAAGCTATATTGCCAGTGAAAGCCTATAGAAGAGAATTTGGGAGATTAAGCTAATATAATTTATTGTGCTGAGTGTACTTTATTAAAAAAAAAAGTCATGAAAAATTTGAAACTGGAGATCACCTACCTCTCCCCCACAACTTTATTCATTGTGCCTTCTTTGCTAATTTAAGTTGCAAAAATAACTAATGATAAGAAGTTCTAAGTTAACTTCTTGGCAAAACAAAAGGAGTAAAAATGTTTGGGTCTAGTATTTTTTTCTATTAAACCAAGACTAAAGCAACATTTTTTGTTCGTGAACATGGTTTTTTAAAAGGAACACAGGACTGGAACACATTATCCATTGTTACTGAAAATAAATTTTGCTAACCTTTGTACTGATGGAGGTCAGTTAGGTTTTCCTGATAAGTTAGTATAATTGTTTGGTACTGAGTAACTATTTGTCGACGAAGGCTTTCCCAACAGGGAGACAGCTCTCCCAGCTCTTCTAATTCACAAACCCTAGAAGAAAAAGAAACAAAAAAGTCTTCAAATCAGTTGCACAGTCAACTAAAATAAACAATCCCTTGTGATGTCAATGTAGCAGAATTCTCAACCAACACACGCCATCAGAGAAATCCATCACCAGGGGATGTTTCAAAAGATATTTACCAATGCACTGCAATAGACAAAAGGTCCGTTTAGAGTCGTTAAAAAACAAAGAAACAGTGCTTTACTTTAAACTTAGCACGCTACTGTGCAAAGCCCAGCTCATGCCCAGAAAAGGCATCCCATTAGCTGGACCCAGCTCGCCCACCATCTCTATAGATCCAGAGCTTTAGTGGGGCTTTTTGCCATTTTTATCTAATAGATGATTGAATCAGCTATTAGCTAAAAGCACCAAAAAGTAGCATTGAAGCACCGGATCTATACAACACACTGCTAACTAATGCACTGTTTGGATCAAACTAACGTACTGCTTCTTCTGGTAAAATGGTTTGTTTGGGTTTTTTTTAAGTCTGTAAGGAGCCACGGAGATGACTTTCCCTCCCTATCTCAATTTTGCCAGCTTTCAATTAGGGATGGTTCCCAAACAGAGACTTGCAGTTAGAGATAATTCTTTTTTCACTTAATGTGGCTGAAAAACCTCTGTGCTGTGGAAAACATAGAAACTGCTCGTTTCTGCTACCCAAAAAATAGAAAGTGCATAAAAAGGTGGAAATACCCATGGTCCTTGAATCCACCTGATACACTTTAATGGTAAGCACAAGGATCAGCATGTGGAACGACTGTGCCGATAAATACAAAGAAGTACAATCTCTGCTCCCCTTAAAGACTCACGCAGACCCCTCCATAGCCACAATCAGATCCAAATTGTGTCAAAGTGTTCAAAAAAGGACCACAAAAGGCTGAAACACATGAATGAAATCTTCTCAAGATTTGTTGGGTTGAAAGAAACTTTAGGCAAAGAGAAAAGTAAACGAAGTTGGTTGAATAAGAGTTCATTACCCCTTATGTGAGTATTTTGGTGGCGTAAGTCCCTGCCAGCTTGAATCTACTACAATGCTCCATAATTATTATCTGACTTTTTTAGTGGAGGGTTCTGTCCTAGTTTCAATAATATTATTTCAGAAGATAAAAGCAGGGGGCCTAAGGAGCTGTGTGAGAAACATTACAAATAACTGATTCTTATTATAGTCATGCAATAGTCAGCAACTTGAACTATAGAGTAATATTTCTCGCACTTCTCTTACACTTAACACACAAGTTAAAAAAACATTATGCTGATTTCATTCCAGTGTTCATACTGTTGCCAACTGTTGACATTCAAAGCCACCAAAGTCTGCAATGAGTTGCTTAATATGATTACTTTGGAAGATTAAACAAGAAGTTGGAATGTGAGGCCAAGGAATAAGCAAATGCACTACTTCTCTCTCTCAAATCAGAGCAGCTCATCATCACTATACTATATCCACTCGATTTACTTTTTATCTGTTTTATTTCAATTCAAACCTACCCTTCTGGTTTTTAAAGCCATCCATGTACTCACCGAGAGAAAACAGTGCTCCTGAGTGTTTTAGGCTGCATTTTAGTTTTCAGTAGTATAGAAGGCAGTCAATTGTTCCAGGAGTCACTTGACAGCCCTGTGGTTTTGGCTTTTCTTCTCAAGAACTCTATTCTTAACCTGCTGCTCTACTCACTCATGCTCCATTCATCCAGCTGGAAATGGTTATCATTTCCCTGATGTTGACACATCTATCCAAAGTTCCCTCCTTGCCTACAGATATTTTCTTTCCTTAAATGCAATCTTCCTTTTCTGTTTGGCTTAAAATGATTCTGTTAAAAATTATAAGATGCTGTGTATAAATGATGCCATATATAAAAGTGTCATACATTGTAATGTACTGGCCCTATGCCTGCCATTTTCTAAAAAACTTTATTATGATGCATCATCTCTGTTGTGTCATCAAAGAATTTGATAGAAAATTTTAAGAAGTTACAGCAGTAATAGTGAGATTGCAATTATGCATGTAGCCAGCAATATTCTTACTACTGCCAAACAGCCTATGGCAATCAGAATGAGAGCCAGAACTAATCTCTTTGTTTCCTCTTTTTGCACTACTTCAAGAAATTCTATTATATTTAAGAGTTATAAAATAGTATAATAGTATTAATGTGACCTATTACAGGCTGCCCATGACGCAAGAACCATTTAAGGGCTCAACTTCCATGCTGAAAAATGGTGGTGTGAGCGCTGATACACGACACTGGAGTCTGCTGGTACGGGGTAATTACCATACTCCAGCAGACTCGATTAACTGAGTCTGCTCCAACCCACTGTAATTACAGCGCATTGGAGCAGCTTCCCTGCACGTATATAGGCACTCATAGCCTATAGCTTTTCACTTTTCAGCAGCAACAAAAAACATTTGCAATTCCAAAATATTAAAAATAAGTTGAGAATACTCACCATTAAAAATATATTTCAGATCCCTGAAGTTGCATTTTATACAACCACCGAATATTGGATGAATAAATGTATAGGTCACAAGAGCAGCACTTTTCACTTTCCATTTAGCCTAACCAGAACTATAAGTAACAGAATAGGCCTGATTCTTCTGAATACATACATAAGGATAAATCCACCAGTGGGTTAGAGCCTAGCTGGTATAAATGCCATAACTCTGACTTCAGTGGAACTATGGTGATTTATATCTGTTGAAATTTTAGCCCAACAGAATTAACTAGTGTCCTAGTAAGCTGAATATTTAGCCTGAACAAAACATAGTTCATGACCAATGTGGTGGTGACATGAAGGCACTGACTTTAATGTAAGATGGCAGTGGGCAAGTCGCTTCACTTGCTGTTTTTGCTGAAGTCTCTGTTGTAACAAGCTGCTCCTTGGTAACTCAGCAACAGACACAAATCATTGCTCTATTACCATATTTACTTGAATACAAGACAAGGTTTCTTCCACAAGCAGCATGGGGAAAAAAGCTCTTGTCTTACATTTGCATACACGGAAAACTCATTAAAAATATACTGCCTATCATTACACTACTGCCAAAAGCAGCATGTGCTCAGTAATGAAAACCAGCTATAAAGTTGATTAAACACTGAGCAAGTCTATAAAACTTATGGCCCATATTGGGCAAACATACTGATGGGAACTTAACACAAGGATAGATTAGTGCAGCCCATCTGAAAAAAATATATGGTAGTACTCATTGAATGCAGTCCCCCTCCGCATCAACTCTTTTTCAAGTCATGGTGGGCCACTACACTGTATACATTTTTACTTCCTCTTCACTCCCACAGCTGAGCTGTGCCTTCTTTCCCACTTCCAATGATTCCGGTTTCTTCACCAGCCTTCACTGTATGACAAATATCACCAAATGGGGCCCCAAACAGTTCATCCAGAACTTCTCTGTTGCCCCCTCTCTCTGCAGGGCAGATATGATTAGTGTGCTCCCATTCTTCATGAGGTGGAGCTGGACCACGTTGCCCTGCATCTGACCTGCATATACACTTTTGGAGGATCCTAAGACTCATGACAAGAACACCTAGTTCCAGTCATGGTGGGAGGCTAATTAGCATGTGAATCCTTTGTGGGAGGTATATGGAATACACACACATACTGAGCAGTGCTAAGATGTGGGGTCACCATGACTTGAAATGCTGTTGACTCTGCCAGGGCCCATCCCAATGAATTATATAGTAAAGAATAAAAGTTTCTAATATCATGCACAGCTTGTGCTATATATAAGTAAGTAAAAAAGTGCTTCTTAAAAGTGTGTTTGTGGAGTACATGTGCTAAATCTTGGAGTTTCAAAAAGCATAAAATGCAACAATTCTGGCTGAAATAAGTCTATGGGTACTGATGGCTAGAAAATCGTATTTAGAGGTTGGTTTTTGGGAATTGGCTTATAGGTAAAACAGATACTGCATTAGAACAATGGTCCAGGAGAATGGCAAGGGTTAATGGATTTTTAAAAGCCTGTTTGTGATAGTTTGCTTCAAGGCCCACTGTGTCCGACACAGGCAAGCAGCAAGCAGACACACAGGCTGGGAAACTGAAGACATGTACCACACATGAGGTGTGGGACTCTGTCATATTGGCCAGGTCACAGTGCCCAGCTGCAGAACCCTTGGGAGTTCCAGTTTTGGTAAATGGGTCAAATTAGGAGGACACCAGTAAGGCCAAAATTAGGATGTGTACATGTGATGGGCTTGTGAAACAAAGGAATATCCTGACAGGACAGGATGTGGACAGTATGACGACCACAGGGAGACCAACAGATAAAGAATCATCATAGGGAGGAAAAGAATACAAAAGGAGGGATTTCAGAGCAGCAAAGGGTCCCTGAGAGGAGAACCCAAGGCCACCATGGACAGCAGGCACACCATCAGCACATCTTACCCACCCCACTGAGTGAGGGTGGGCCCTGGCTTCTGACCTCCAAGCTGCTGACATCTGACATTCAAGACAGAACCTCAGAGTAAAGATTGCATACTGGGCAGATGTACCTTGACTCTGTGAGCCCTGGGACTGGTAGATATAGAATTGTTTGCATTATTCTTATCTGCTATCACTGTGTATCAATACAATTTCCCCCCAGATCTACTTTTCCTGATGTAGCAGCGGGAACGGGACAAATTCAAGTCAAAACTTCTAACAATTAGATTCTATACCTGGAAAAGTATAACACATTTATAAATGTTCCACGTATAGAATGTCATTTTGGGGTGGGGGGGTTGTCTTGTATTTGAGTAAATATGGGAATACATGCAAATCTATTCAACCTTACCTTGCTGCATCTTCTTCAAGCAAAAGCTTCACAAACTGCCTGGGGATGTGCAGTGACAGTACACTCTCAGCCATTTGCTCCAAGATCCTCAGGTGGTTCCCATCAGTTGTGGGGAAACGGTACATCCGACAAATGGCACCACCAAACACTAAAATATTAAAACCATATTATGCAAGGATGTGATCTGAGTTCAATGCTAACAAATCTCTCCTCCTTGTCCTAACTCAGTGATTCATAACCAAGGTGCTATGGTAGCTTCAGGGTGCCATGAAAAAACTTTTTAATGAAGCCCAAGGGTTCTAGGCAGTATAAGTCCTGTTAGGTGTGCAAAGATCTACATGATTCACAAAGTAAACCCTGTGATTTTAAATAGAAGTCCATAGTGTTAAAAACATTCTGATCTGCTGTGATCCAAGTCCTTTAAAGCAGAAGCATTGCTCTATTATTTTTCTTTAGTCAAAAAACAAGCAAAACCTAAGTACTGGCAATTTCTGAGGGGGTACCTTGAGTTTAAAAAGGTTGAGATTAAAAAGGTTGCATTAACCTAAGTTGGTTAGATTCATTTGCTCCTGCCTGTAAGTATGCAATTTAGTTCATGTACCAATATAGATTATTCAAGCACAGTTATTAAAAAAAACCCCAAAAGTATTAAAACACTGTTAATACAGGGAAAATAACAGGACAACTGTTATTCTGAATGTCTTTACAGACAGTGCATTTTTCCGTGTACATAATTTTACTGGAGAATTATTTTGTCTAAAATCATTACTTTTCTTTAGGGAAAGTATTATTATTATTAATATCTAGATGAAGAAAATTCTATTCTATACCATGCTAGCCTAGCCTATTCAGGGTTTTATACCACCTCCACTGTAATGCAGGGTATTTGGTATCATATTTTGTGCTATAGAATGCTATAGTACAAATGGCAAAATAGATTATCTTTATTGACCTCAATTCAGCAGCCCACCCTTAATCAACTTTAGCACACACTTAACCACTTTGCTGAACTGAAGCCACAGTGTAGACACAACATTAGCTCTAACCAATGCTCCCTAAAAAAGAACTATCAAGCGTAAACAGTGGAGATATTAAATCAACAGGAGATGATCCATCTATGCAGGTTGCTACTTACCAGATTTCAGTAATGCATCCTTCCGTAATGAAGCATATTTAGATCTGATTCCTAGAGATTCTGTTAAACTTTCATCAACTGGCAAGACTGTCTAAAGAACAATAGCAAACATTAAATACAATACAATACTACACCTTCACACCAAGTCAACCTACACTGGTCAGTATCAACATGGCAATATAAAGGAAACATTTAACATAGTTGAAATTTTTATTTAAAATATTCACTATGTTCATCATGGACAAAACCTATCCTGACTGTAAGATGAAATAACAAACCAACTTAACTGCTGGTTGCCTGGTACACTTCTGAGTGCTGTGAATATGATAAGGCCAAACTCTCAGCTATTGTAAATTACCCTCTAGTTACATCAAGTTACACCATCTGATTACATGGCCCAATACACAGTGATAATAATTTACATTGTAAAAACTATATATAGAAGTTATTCCTCAAACACACCCAGAATACAGTCTGCAGTACTAAACATTCTCTCTATATGCTGCCGGGCAATGATAAATAACTTATCTGGAAACCATACATTTTACTACCATAAAAATCCAGGTCTCTTTGTCTGCTTCAGTTGCTACCCCAACCTTGCACATGTTCTGATACTGCCTTGTCCTCCATATAAGCTATACCTCCACCTACATGATATAAATCTGGTACATGGTCTCAACATTTTCTAGGATGATGATGATAATGACAGTGA